GGTGGAATAATTGTCCAGGTTCATTTCTTCCGTTTCCCCTGTGCAAAAGCCTTAATTTTTTTATTTAAATCAATTGAAAGCTCTCATGCAACTCCATGGCCTGTATGCTAGGGTTTTAAAATGCCAAATATACAACATACATGGCTAGATTAGAACAATAGATGATGCATAAAGTAAGTTTTAACCAAGTTCAAAAAAACTCTTGGCAAGAAAATTGAAAATTTCCATGTTTAGTATTTCCTCTAATAAATCAGTCTTTTCTAGCTTTTAACTCAACAAACATTACATGCATGTCTAGATAAAAGAGGTAAATGGTACATGAAGTGAGTTCTTGATCAAAACCAACAAAATTTTTGGAGTTAAAGCTGCAAACTCTTGGCTCTATTCCAACGGCCCTCAAGTATCAATCATAATCAGAAATGTCAGTAAGGTTCCCTCAACACCACCACCTATCTCACTTGGATTCAAGCCAAATACTACATCCATGTCAATATTAATGTATTATAAGGTGTATTAAACAACAATATGCAATTTTATAGCCAAAATTCATGGAGGAAAACTGGAAAAGTCCTTCCTCTCTCTCTCCGCCATCTCAACAGAATTTCCAGCAAGGTCCTTCAACATTTTCAGCCAAGTTCACCAACTTTTAACTAGTTTCAAAGATAAAGCGTACTATATATCATATAAGGCAAGAGATAAAACATATATCATGCACTCCTAGTAAAATTTCTTCCAAGTTTTCGAATGAAAAGCTGTGAGACTCAAGCTCTCTTCCTCTCGGCCAACACAGAGAATTTTGTAGCAGGTAATCAATTTTTAAGCAAAGTTTTCCTTCAGGTTTTACACTGGTCCATCTTTGTTTCAAGTTAAATACTGCATGCATGACAAGGTAGAAGAGTTAGGGTGTGTGTGTTGTATAAAAATTCAACTTAACAGATTTTGAGAGAAACAATCACAACATTGCAGACGAACAACATGCAGTAAGTTCAGCAGAATATTTCCAGCTTTGAGGCATTTTTCCTTAGTTAAGTTTCTCTTTTCTTGAGGGTAGTTCAAGTTAAGACATTATAGAACCAAGGTAGAAAGGAAATAAGGGAAATTTATCAGGTTTTACCTCTTGTTTCCTCACAACAAAAGCTGGAAAATTGCAGATTGTTTTACCTTTTTTCTCCCTTGGTTTCTCAAAGACAAAACACTCCAATTTTCTCCCCTCAATGCAGCTGTTTTGGACACCGAGAAGCTGCAATCTCTTCCTCACTCTCAATTCTCTCTCTTGTGTCGAAGTGATAAGAGGAAAATGGACTAACTCTCTCACTCACTCTCTCGGTTGCAGGCTGAAAAAAAAAAAAAGAACCAGAAATGTGTCTGCTCTCTCAGTCAAAAGTTGCTTTTGTATGTCAAGAGACAAATGAGCTGGTGCAGGCTTGGTTTAGTAGTTGGACAAGTGTCCTATTCATGCCACATGTCAAAAGCATGAACAAATAAAAATTTAGACCTTGCGCTTTCATTCCATCTCACTATTACTCCTCTAGTTTCTTGTCTAATTCGTATTAAATTTCCATGAATGTGAATCATGCTTGAATTTGAAATATTCTAATACACTTAACTATAAGGCAATCAATTAAACACTCCAAGTAGTCGATAATCCAACAAGATTGCATGATCAAATTTTCTAATGGTAATGTACGCAGTTAGGTATAAATTTTCGAGTTCTCACAACAATACTCTTACTAGAAATTCTTGGAAAGACTTTATTACCTACAAATACAAAAAAAAAATCATTGGAGGAAATGACAAAATATAAATGGATATAAATCAAAATGGAAGGCAATGACAAAAAATAAAGTACATAAGGAGACACAAGAATTACTATAATATATGTCATACATGTTGGATACGATTTATGTCGTAGTTGTCAAAGAGAGAGAAAAAGAGGAGTGAATTTTACCGTAAATGTTGTTGTCTAATTAGTAAAGATAATTATGCATTAATAATTAGTAAAGTTTAAATTTGAAATGACACTTAATAGTTGACCAATTTTGAAATTGTTTCGGGCTTAATTGAAGTTGGACAAGTAATCACTCTAAAACCATCCGATTTAATGGTTTAACGATTGAACTGGATAATTTTGCCGATTTAACTTTAGTTGAATGGTTTTTCACTACGGCCAACTTGAATTGAATTAGTAACTAGTTGATGGCCCAACTGGTTTAACCGACAGATCCGAATTAAGTTTTCAAACAATGATGTAGAGAGCCAATTTAACCATATGCCTCCAACTTGCAATGATTACTCATCACTTCATTAATTATATTTATATCGTCACTTAATAAATTTTCAATCAAATTTTAAATTGGTCATAGTTAAATAGATTATTAAAGAGTCTTAGATGATTTTATATTATAATAGTGGATTAATGGTAAGTAATTTGTTCTTAGTTTGAAATTGTTTTTAAAAAATCTTTGGTTTACCAATTCACATTGGAAATCTCTTTTTTGGCATGTCTCATAAATCTAAAATCGTTCATGTGCTTTTTATTCTGACAATATAGGAACTATTAATCCATGAATACTGATAAGTGTCCTACCAAATAATCTTGAAGACACGTTATCCTGTGAGCTCCTCTTGCATGTTTTACACACGCATCCGAAGAACAATATACGGGGAAGAACCGAGAGTTTCCATTTAATTTTTCTTTTGACTTAGTATGGATTCATTTAGATTAGGTTTTTGGTACTTAAAATATTTGGCTACATTCATAATTTTTTGTTTTATGCCAGAACTATGCTGAAATGAGCTGCAAGAATCATTTTTGGTTCAATGAGGTTGCTTCAATGTTGATATTGATTCGAGCTTGGTTTTATTTCTGATTTTACTTTAGTTCACTTTTCTTTCTTTTGTAATAGCTGAAGAATGGTTCTGATTAGGGTAAAATACAGTATGCCCCTGTGGTATTGCCAAAAGATACAAAACCTCCCCTATTCCCATATAATCACTGTTAACTAAAGTGGAATTTGACCTTTAACTAGTTGTGTAACCTGTAAGTCGGGGTGCTAGTGAGCCAAATTACTTGCGAGCAGCTTGTGAGATGTTTGGTCAAATGCTTGGCTTCAACTTGGTTTGACCGAATTCGAGCTTGAGTAACTCGATACAAGAACCAAGTCGTGTTCAAGCCTCTCTTTGTGCTACTCGAGTGCTCGTCGAGTAGTTTGATTAATTTTATTATTTATATAATATATTTATTTTGATTATGAAATGACCAATAAGGGCTTATATTTTGAATAATTAATGCAAATTTTTGTATTTCAAGTTTTTGGAATACTCAAACTCGATAAGGATCGAGAACAATATCAAGTCTTATCGAGTCAAATTCGAATTTCAATTGTTCTTCCCTTGAGTCGAGTAGAGCTACATAAATTTCTGCTCGCTCGAGTCGAGCTCGAACTTGAGTAGGCTTGTTTACATTTTGAGTTCATGTTCGAGCATAACATTACTCAAATTCAACTAAACTTGTTATCACCCCTACCTATAAGTCGCATAAGACTTAATAAAAAATTTAAAAAGGGTAAAAAATAAAAAATTACTTGTGGTTAAGCTAACATACAGAAAAACTTCTCGTAGTTTCAAAACATACATTTCGACACCTCATGATTTAAACTAAACTGAGAAGGCAACGAAAATTGTCAAAACTAATGTGTTCGAGGCACATGCACTTGTTTTCCAACTAGTGGTACTTGAAAACAATTTTTTATAATTAATGTTTAGTTGATATACCTATTCTATCCCTTACAGGAAAGCCCCCTATGGTTAACTCAACCTATAAAAATACCCTCTATAATTTCAAAACATACAAGCTGGATTTGATCCAAAACTTTTAGGAAATTTATTGAAAAGGGAGTTAAGTTTCTTGAGAGAAATGAATCACCGATCTTATGCACACTACTTTTGGTGCATGGTAAAAGTTTTAAATTTGGGTTTTTGCTATTATAATATTATTTTAGAAGATCTTTTTTAAGAATTTAAAGTAAGAATTTCAATACTTTTTCTTTGTATAAGGTGAACAAAAATTTTGCAAAATAGTTGATTATATTTTTCTCAAGCTCTCAAGTGGGCAGTAAAACTAAACTCTATGATACCAATATGAAACTTGTGAGTGTTCACAAAAAGCAAAAATAAAAATCATCGAGATCAAAAAACCATCAAAAGGGATGTTGTACTTTACATGTGCAATGGATGATTGCGGGTTTTTCTTGTGATCATGGTGTTATCTCATATACAAATATTAATCAAATCAAAACAACTGTTTTATGTGTGAAAGGGATGAATATTATATCTTTTGAAACCACAGGGGACTTTCTTGTAAGTTGGCTTAACCACAAGGGGCTTTTCTGCATTTTACCCTTATATATATACATATATATATATATATATGTATGTATATATATATATATATATATATATATATATATATATATATATTATTTTTATAATTTCATCTACCCACATTAGTTTTGACGATTTCCATTGCCTTTTTAATTTAATTCAAATCATGAGGTGTAAGATTATATGTGTTGAAACCACGAGAAGCTTGTCCATATATTTGCTTAACCATAGGTGTCTTTTTTTGTCTTTTACCCATTAACAAAATAGTCAATTATGGGATTGATGCCGCTCTTAAAAAAAAGCGGGATCAAATTCCATTTATTTTTTGTGCTCAAATTCCTTTGACTTAACTATCATGGGTGTCTTTACAAATTTAAATTTTTTGAAACATTTTAAAATTTTTAAAAATTATTCATCTTTCCTCTTCCTCCCAATCCTCCCTCTTCATCTCAACCACTTGCCACCACTGCCCGCCACCCACTGTTGCCTCTTTCTCTTCTCTCCTCCCTTCTCTCCTCCCTTCTCTCCTCCTCTTTCCCCTCCCTCATTCTCTCCCCCTTTCCCCTTCCCCCTCCTCCCTCCTCTCCCCTCCCCTCTTCCCCTATCCTATCCTCCCTTTCTCGCCCCTTCCTCACTCTTTCCCTCCTCTCCAGCAATTAGGTCTGGTTGCAAGACCAAATCTCATCCCTGCAACTAGATTCGGACCATCCAATCACCAAGGAGAGATCATTGGTTGCAACTGGATCTACTTGCCAGGGAGGAGAGGAAGAGAGAGAGAGAGAGGCGCAACATAAGGAGGAGAGGAGAGAGAGGAAGAGGGATAGAAAAAAGAGGAAAAGGATAAGGGAAGGAGAACTGGGGAGGGGCAGGGAATAAAAGGTAGTGGTAGCAAGTGGCGAAGGAGAAAGAAGGAGAAAGAGAGAGGTGGTGGTGGTGGTAGTGTATCAATGGTGCTTGTGTGGAGTAGAGAAAGAAGAAAGGAAAAACAAAAGAAAATAAAAAGAAAAGAAAGAAAAAAATTACTATCTGTTTGGGCATCCATTAAGATATATTTCAATTGTTAGTTTTTTCGAAGTATAAGATTAATTAAAGAAAGTGTACAAATGCAAGTGGATTAATTAGAAAAAATATATAAATGTAAGAGAAAGTGATAATTATAATGTGTATAAACATGGTACATTGGGCAACTGCTAATGAGTGTCCATAAGGCATATGTTAGAGAAATACAAAAAGCTGAAAAACTTAAATAAAAAAAAGAAGGGAGATTTGTAATTTTGGTCCCCAATCTATAGTGTATGCGCGGAATTAGTCCCCAATCTATTTCGAAAATCAATTTTGGTCCCCAATCTATTCAATTTTGCGCTAAAAGTGGACAATTGATGGAATTTCTTCAATTTCAACCAGAACCAAGTCACGTGAGATCACGTGCCGGCACCTAAAACCTCTTTTTCAATTTTTTTAATTTCTGAAACATGTTTTTTAATATTTTCAGCTTTCTCTTGCCTTTTGTCTTATTAAACAAAGACATGAAAGGCTAAAATTCACTAATCAAGGAGTGGAGCCCACCAAAAAGGTTGAAAATTAGAAAAAGAAACATTTGCTCTCGTATTTCTCAACCTTGGTCTCTTCTCTTCAGCAAAAGAACAACGAACCCTAAGAGTGAAAATCAAGAATCAAAACATGAAAAAATACGGAAAAATCTTGCCGAATTCAGTCAAGCTGAAGCTCCTCGTGGCTTTGCAAAGCAAAAATGGCAGCGAGACCTAAGAAAATGAACAAGCTGGCAGCACCTAATTATGGTATGTGATTTTGCCTTCTTTTTGTGATATATATGCACAATCGCCAACTATAATGTTAGAATATAGTGGAAAAGATGCTTTTGTACTTGGGGGGACAAAAAATCTGTAATTAAGGCTTTATTAATAACCAATCTTGAAAAAAACCCTACAAAAATTTGTCATTTGTGATGTGGTCCCATTGTGTCTCTAAACGGGCTCTTATCATGCTGGTTCATACTATACAATTGGGACTTATTTTACTACAATTGATGGTCATTGTCTTTGAATCTTTGCTAAAGTATGCATTTTTTATTGTCGGTTTGCTAGTTTTACTATTTCTGTCATCTAAATTATGGCCTGTGTTGTTTGTTTGTTGTTTTTGTTTCTTTTTTTTTAAATGTAGACAGTGATAGCACGGAAGTGACTATGAAGTGTCACTTATGGGGAGAATATGAAACTGAACCTGATGTTCATTATGAGGGAGGTGAATTAAGGGTGTTTGATCATGTAGAGGTCACAGGTATAAGCCTTTTTGCAATGGATAGAATGTTAGAAAGTCAGATTGGAGCTATAGGTGAAAAGAAGTACCACATTTTGATAGAGGAACATGGCTTCCGTTTGTTAAAGCATGATAGAGAAATGCATGCCTATTGTGTTGATCAATTTGAGTATGGAAGGGTAGTTGATTTGTACATAGAAGTTTCTTTTAGTGAGTTATTAGCATCACAATGGGGGTCTGATGTTGATGATGAAGATTTTGAATTAGAAGATGAAGATGATGAATCTGATAGTAAATATATAGAGGGTTCTGATTCTAGAGAATTCTCAGGAAAAGATTCAGATTATGAGCAAAATTCTGATGACAATGATAATAAAGAAAATGTTGATTATAATTTAGAATGGTTAGGGGTAGAAAATCACAGGAAAGAGCAGCTTAAGAGGAATGAAAAAAAGGAATGTGTAGAGGAAACTAGGGGACAAACGGTGAGTAATTCTGATACTGATGATGACAACTCCGACATAGATGTTGCACCAGATTCAGGTTCAGATATTGATAGTCTCCAAGGTTCAGATAAAGAGGGTCATTCAAGACCCCCTATGTATGACCCCAAGGATGCAGATAACCCCAAACTTGAAATTAGGCAGGTATTTACCACATTCAAGGAGTTTAAAGAGGCAGTTAGAACCTGGAATATCAAGCGGGGTAGACCATTTAAATTTATCAAGAGTGACACCATTAGAATTAGGGCAATTTGTCCTAAAAAAGATGTGACTGGTGCATATATGCTAGGAAGATGAAAGGTGATGGCAGATTGAAAGTTAGAACATTCCAGCAGAAGTACAAGTGTGGGTTTTCATATCATAACAAGAGTGTCAAATCTGGGTGGGTTGGCAGAAAATATGTTAACACATTTAGAGAGAATCCCAAGATGGATTATGCTAGCTTCAAAATCCTGGTAATGAAAGAGAACAAGTGCTATTTGAGTAGACATCAAGGCTATAGAGCTAAAAAAATTGGCAAGGAGTTGGCCCAAGGTAGTGATGTGGACCAGTACAATAAATTGTCCAAGTATATCAATGAAATCTTGAGAAGTAACCCAGATAGTACTGTAGTAATGAAGGTGGCAGAAGACTACTGTGATTCAGTCACCAAACAAGGAAATTTTCAAAGATTGTACATGTGCTTTGCTGGGGTGAAAAAAGGATTTTTAGATGCTTGCAGACCTGTGTTTGGATTAGATGGGACATTTCTCAACGGTGCAGCTGGTGGAGTATTACTGACAGCAGTTGGAGTTGATCCAAATAATGGTTTGTATCCAATTGCTTATGCAGCAACTGAGGGAGAAACTAAGGATTCCTGGATTTGGTTTCTTACTTTACTTAAGGAGGATCTAAAAATTGAAAAAGATGATGAATGAACCATAATGAGTGACAAGCAGAAGGGCATAATTCAGACATGTGAAACAGTTTTTCCAGGGGCTGATCATAGATTTTGTGTGAAGCATATGCAAAGCAATATGGTAGCTGCTGGATTCAAAGGGACAGCCATGAGACAAGCTCCATGGAAAGCAGCTAAGGCAACTACTCGTACACAATATATAAGAAGAATGGAAGCCATATCAGAATTGGATATTGATGCAATTAAGTGGTTAGAGGACAAGAATCCACCAGAGTGGAATAGATCACACTTCTGAACATTCCCTATATGTGATATGTTGTTGAATAACATATGTGAATCATTTATCAGCAAAATATTAGATGCCAGGGAAGGGTCCATTGTTGTCATAATGGAGGCATTGAGGCATTTTGTCATGCAAAGAATGCAAGAAAATAGAAATAGAGCTAGGGAAAAGTGGAGTAAATTTGATTTCTGTCCAAAAATTAGAAAAAGGATGAGGGTCAATATTGACAAGGCAACTTACTATGTGCCTTACAAATCAAACGATGTCAGTTTTGAACTTGCTTATCCTTATGGTGAAAAGTGGGCAGTCAATATTGAGGATAGGACTTGCTCATGCAGGAAATGGGATTTGACAGGGATACCATGTGCTCATGCAATTTCAGCTTTGTGGATGCTATGAAGGACCCTATGTAGTACATTGATGACTGTTATAGTGTTGAAACGTATCTTAAGTGTTATGACCCTTGCATTTTACCTGTGAATGAAAAGCATGAGTGGGAAGATGTAGATGTTCAGGCACCCCTGCCACCAACTTATGGAAGAACACCAGGAAAACCAAAGAAACAGAGGAGAAAATCTGCTGATGAGATACAGCAAACAAAAGAGCAGGGCAAGAAAGTGAGGAGATTTGGTCAAATCTGTAAATGCTCATTCTGTGGTGAGCAAGGTCATAACACACGGACATGTAAGCTTAGAGAGGAAGCAGGTGTTGCAGCCAGTCAAAATAATAAACAGGGGCAGGAAACACAAGCAAATCAGGATATGAATCTCTCACAACTAGATGACATGATAGTAGATAACTCTGTAAGTAATAATTCCTAATTTGTGTAAATAGATATACCTGTGTTTGTAACATTGTAGCAGCTAATGCATTTTATGCTTTGTTGCAGGTCAGGGGCAACACTTCAAATGCAAAAAAGACAAGAACAAAAACATCAAGAAAATCTGTTGTAATTTTATTACTTAATGTACATTTAGTTATTGTTTCTTGTGAGTTCAATATTTAGTGGTTAAATGCTGATGTATTGCCGGGAAATGGCACCAAACGAAGTGCAAAGCAAATAGATTCATCACAGAACAACCCAGCAACTAGAGATGACAACATAATATCTTCTGCCCCTACTGCTCAACCAAACCTGCATGAAGCTTTTGGGATCCTAGAAAATTTTGTGGTACATTGCAGTCAACCAGTTGGCCAAGGAGGATCTGTACCTTTTAGGATCAAAGATGTTCAAATCCACCTTACAATGACAAAGGGAAAGCCAACATCAACTAACTGATAATCTTGTACCTAGCTTAATGTTGCTAGTCAGCACCTTTTGGATGGTTGTGTTGCTGAATTTGAAATATTTTATTGTCAGATTAGTAGCTTTTGTACATTAGTATTTGGAACTCATGTATCTTGAGAACAAGCCAGCTACCATATTGCTCATTTTCAAGTTTGTAATCATTTCTGGCAAATGACAAAACAATGTCTATTTGATGGTTGTAATGAATTCTGAATGTATCTTTTGTACATTGGTTCCAAGTTAGCAATGAATTCTTCTTTTATCTTTTGGTATGTTACCATTTGTTTTGTTTTACAATCCAGCATTACATATGATGTTCAGGTTTTATAGTAGCTTACTTTCACATTTTGAAGCTGTGTTTTCATTCTATTTTCTGGTGGTTCTGGATTCTGGAAATTATCATAAATAGGAGCTTCAAGTTTTATATAGGATTCTAGGCAGGGAAACGCCTTTATTTGAGCAATGGGATGGTGGTTGTGAATGTATGCTTCTAGTTGTGGATGACTTGGATGAATTGAATTCCTATTATTCTTCCATGTTTCTTTACATCTGCAATGCAAGGATTGCAGTGAATTTCCTACTCTGATTTTTGGGACTATTTAATCCAATGGTATGTAACCCATGTTCATGCATAAATTGGAAATTACGTATGTGCTCTTTCAAGCCAGGATTCATGATTTGGCTATCAAATGATTCTTTCATTCAACCTCTCAAATTGAATTCATTTTCCGAGGATAACTCAACATCCAGTTAACTTGTAAATGAACTGTAAAAACACAACTAAGTGATGGCAGATTGGAACATCCAATATATTCATTCATTCAAAATAAACAGAATGTACTAGCCTAAGAGTAGATTACAACTTACACATTCTGTGACGCCTCCACTTCTCCCAAGGGCGAACCCAAGGGTATCCGTGGGACGTCTATCCAACTTTTGTCAGGACTCAAATCAATTCAATTCAACCTTAACGATACATACCAAATTAATACAAGTCTAAATAAAGAAAAGTCGCTTCCTTAACCGAATATCCAAATCTTACATCAGATTCTCAAAAGATACATCAAATTCCAAAATACAACCATTAAAAGTCGGCTAAATAATTACAACCAAAATTCCAATTAAAAACATAACCTAGTCGGCTTTTCATAATCTTCCAATCCACCTGTTAAGGAAAACAAACTAATGGAATAAGCCAATACTCAGTGAGGCCAAGAAACACACATGCAAGCATGTTGTCCAAGTAACAATCCCATTTAACGAATAAACAGTAATATTCAAGTAAATAACAATTCGGCCGAGAAAAAGTAAACAGAAAGAATTCAAGGATATAAGAGCTCTCAGGAGCTATTTTCCACTTGCATGATCTCCCCATTAAATCAAGTTTATACACGTTTCTCATGGCTCACCAAACTTCTCGACCGTGCCCATGCCGGCTCGAGTTGCAAGGTCGGCCAATGAGATTTGGGCGTCCTCCACTAGTATCACTAGGAGTCGAGGAGATTCACTCCAATCGACTTATGCAGCCATAGCATAATTAATCATTGAAACACTTCACTTAATTCACTTAACAAGTCATTTCAAGTAGTTCAAGTATACTTCACGTAAATATTCATTTCAAGTATTTCATGTCAAGTAATTCAAATACACTTCACTTTAATGAGAACGAGTGCGGTAAAGTACACACTCGACTCAACATTTTAAAAATACTCAATTTTCAATAACAATTAAACACGTAACACGTTTTCACACACTTGACACTCACCTAGTCAAAATGAGAGAGTGGTACTCAATTCAAGTGTTTAAGCGTCCGTTGTGAGGTCCTCTTGAAGGTCCCCTTCAATGCCTGAGTAAACAATAATTATCTATCACACACTATCGCTTAAGACCCCCCAATTATCAAGGAAGATTGTACTCTTGTACAATCTAGGAAAATATCATGACAATAAGCCATAATTATTCGTAAATCGGGGCTCAAAAGTAGGGCTTAATAATACAAGGAAAAATTGATTTTCATCTTTGAAATCAAGTGTAAAACGGTCAAGCAATATCGAAGGGTAGTGAAGAGTTTCTAAAAACTCAATTCACTTCAAGTTCAAAAATTCCAGATTTAAGGTGCAATTTTTGAAAAATCATATCTCACTCTCCATAGGTCCAAAATTAGAAACTTAGTACCGTTGTAAACTACTTCCAAAGTACTAAAAGTTTCTAGAAGACACTTTTCCATGATTCTAAATGGAAGACACTCAAATTTCAGCTTAAATCTACAGACATGCACTTCCAAGACAGATTTGGGGTTGGTTTTTGGTAAACTTTAGAAATTCGACAAAATTCACAGAATGTGAACTAGCCTCTAAAATTTGAAACTCAATTAGAGTTACAATCGAAGTTTAAAACACAATAAACGGAACAAGAATCGGAGTTTTGAGCGCCAAGATATAGCAGCTCAAAGTTGGTTCAAAATGAAGACCATTGGGCAATTTTTTAGATTTGAAACATAAATTTTGAGACAACAGTTGGGCATCGAAATGGACTTGGAATGGCACCAAATTTGGTATGATTACACTACTATATAAGGGCTACACCTCTGCCAAATTTCATACAAAAATTCGTACGGGAAGCAGTTAACAAGACCACTAAAGTTTCAAGAATTTCCAAGGTAATTCTGCCTTATGTTTCCATTTTCCTTTTTTCGAATCTTTGGCCAATGAAATCATCTCAAACATGGTTCATTTATGAAGAAAAAGTCTAAGAAGCATCCAACATACATTTGGTAGGTGATTAACACCAAAAGTTTCAAAATAACAAGTCTCAATTCGAGCTAAGCCATTCGGCTAGCCAAAACTAGGGTTTTCTATCACTGATGCAGTTCTGTAATTTGGCCATAACTCAGTCAATTCAACTTGGAATTAGGCATGGTTGGTGGCTTTGGAAACTACATTCATAAGCCTACAATTTATCAGAAGAAAACAGAACAGGTAACTCAAATTCAAGCAACAAATCCTAGCACATCACTGACCCTCGAGCAGAGCAACAAAACAGAACAGGTAACTTTGGTGAACTAGTACGGCTCACTCACTTCGAATAAGGAAATGTATTTTATACCGTTTGAAAACTGGAAGTGTCTAGTTTCAAATGCCGCAAACGGCACTTGATTTCGACATCGGAGTAAAGAGTTATGATCGTTCAAAGTTCACTGCCAAAGAACCCCTGTTACGCGAATTCCAGTTTTGTTCTTGTCCAAAACTCAACTTTTCTTAACCAAAACAAGTAATTTTTTGTGGAAACTTTCCACACAACCTAAACAACATATCTACAACAAATTCAAGATCATTTGACTACAAAAAAAATCACACCAAGTGCTCTGTAAAAACAGGGCAGAATTCGGCCCTTTCTCGTGCAAGTTTTCCTTTGATTTTCTTTCCACTTTTCAACTTATATCCACTAGTTTAACACTTAATCAACATAAATAACACCCAAAATCATCATATCAGTCCAACATATCCATTATGGGATTTCATAGAGCCCACTCAAATGATTTCCAACAAAATAAAGATACCCACATGAAGCTACAAGCTTCCAAGTGAAATCTAACTCACTAGAATCAAGTTTCAAATGTTGGATGATTTACTATCTCTTGGTTGATGAAACTCAGAAATTTCGGCCACCAAGAGCTCCAAGAAAATCATGGAAATGATGCTCTCTTCCTAGTCCAAATGAGTCTCCAAGTTGTTGTGAGTTTGTGTAGTGAATTTGGAGTGAAAAGGTGCAAGAAAATGAAGTGAGATGATGAAGGGTTTTGGTCTTCTTCCTCCTTGGAGTTTTCGGCCAGCAAGGGTAAGGAGAGAGAGTGTGAAATCTGATGAAGGAAGCTTCTCATGGAAGCTTGGTAGTTGTAGTTCAAATTTTACACAAAAGTCAACTCTCAATAGTGCGTATATGCGCGCGTTTCATGCCCGATTCCTCTCGGGTTTGTTTCACTGGTGCACTAAACCTCTAATGCACTTTCTTTAACACTATTATTATTCACTCTTAGTAGTCTAACAATAATTTTCTAAAGTCCCTCAATTAATCGCGCGCGCGAAAACGCGAACTTCCGACTTATGCGCGATAAAATGAAATTTCTAAGAAATTCTTGTAACGATAGTATAACTAACTAACACTTTGGTAATTAATCATGAAAATAACTATTTTAGGGTAAACCAATAAATAAGTGAATAAATCGATAAAATAAATAAATAAAATAAAATAAAATACCGAGTCCTCACATCCTCTCCCCCTTAAGAGAATTTCGTCCTCGAAATTATACCTTGATTTGAGAATAGGTTTGGGTATTTTCCTCGAATCTCTTCTTCAACTTCCCAGGTTGTTTCCTCTAGTCTATGGTTCCTCCAAAAAACTTTCACCAACGGAATCTGCTTGTTTCTCAATTTTTTCACCTTACGATCTAGAAGCTTGATCGGTTTCTCCTCATAGGTCAGCGCCTCATCAATTTCAATATTTTCCGGTTGCAAGTTATGAGAAGGGTCTGGATGATATTTCTTAAGTATGGACACGTGAAAAACATTGTGGATGCGAGATAAACTTGGTGACAATTCTAACTTATAGGCCACATTTCCTACACATTGGATAATCTTGTACGGCCCTACGAATCTCAGTTGTAACTTCTTTCTTTTTCCAGACATTAAACTTCCTTTCAGAGGAGTAATTTTAAGAAAAACCTGATCTTCAACCGCATTCTAATTCCTTCCTTCGGTTGTCTGCATAACTCTTCTGACGACTTTGTGCGGTTTGAATCCTCTGGCCCATCAACTTCACTTTTTCGTTCGCCTCCTCAATCCAAGGCACTGTAGTCGGGTTTAAGATTTTTCGTTCACCTACTTCATCCCAACAAATCGGAAACCTATACTTCCGACCATAAAGTGCTTCGTACGGGACCATTTGAATAGAAGAGTGAAAGCTATTGTTATAGGCGAATTCCACCAATGTCAAAAACTTACTCCAACTCTCTCCAAAATCTAAAACACAAGTTCTCAATATGTCCTCAAGGGTTTGAATCGTCCTCTCAGACTGTCCATCGGTCTGGGGATGGTAAGTAGTACTAAAATTCAATTTAGTCCCCAACACTTCTTGCATGTTTTGCCAAAATCTTGAAACAAATCTAAGGTATCTATCTGACACAATACTTACAGGTATCCCGTGTAATCTGATAATCTCATCCAAGTATAACTTAGCTAACTTCTCCAATTGGTATTTTATACT